AAAAGGCTTCTCACCTGTGTGAATTCTCATGTGAGAAGTCAAACTACCCTTTTGAGTAAAATTCTTGTAACAAATGGTACAGGAAAAAGGCTTCTCACCAGTGTGAATTATCATATGTGTATCAAGACAAGATTTCTTTGTGAAAAATTTTCCACAGGACAGACAATAAAACCTCTGACCTGTGTGAGTTCTCGTTTGAACCAATAAATGCTCTTTTTTAAGAAAGTTTTCTCCACATGTCAAACATGGGAAAGGTTTCTCTCTTGTATCTTTAATATCCTGCTTCAGAACAAGCTGCTCTTTCTGCTCACTTATGGGGAGCTCCATGGTTTCCTCTTTTGTCCAGGGATGTTCTGGCTTTTGATGCTCTTCTTTAATCTGCGGATGTTCCGATTCCTCTTGGTCCAAACTGGCTTTCCTCTCCTGTCCACAGAGCTGCTGGTCAGAGAATTCCTCCTCTTTTCCAACATAATCCTGCAGGCGGTCTGGAAAGACAAACACAGCAAACACAGCGTTCTATTGGTGGTTAAATAAAGGACACCTCACATAAAAGCACCAAACTCTATCCTTGAGGTTGAGGAGCGAGTGGATCCTGTCAAGCAACCTGAAGATATGAAGTTCATTCTGGCCTAAATTTATTTCCCCACAAACAATTATTAAGGAAAGTAAAGCATTTACATCCAGCACCACAGTGACTGTCTGGAAAATGAGGAAGTAATGAGACACCCTAAACTCAGCAGAGCTTCCTGTAAACCTCTACCTGGAAGAGACAGACCCCAGCTCAATGTGTCAAAGGTTGAGCAGATTTCCAAAAATATTCTAATGAAATTTCTCCACTGTTAGCTTGGAATAATCTAATCCAGGTTCAGGCGTCTGAGTGTTTTAGTTTTTAAATTAAATCAAAAGATTAAAGATACTTAAGCGGAAGCTTTTTTTTTTTACATTGGGCCCTTGATTTTACGTTATTACATCATGTTCTACTCACCCATATGAGTTATGTGTCATTTGGAGCTGTTCTGAAGATATTGCGTTAGGTTATATATAAGTAACGTCTTCCTATGGGCAGACGACTTGAAGGCACAAACTAAACTGTTCATAATTTATTCTTTATGGTACGCCAGCATTCATAATATGTAGGCGAATGACTACATATTGACATCCACGTTTTTTTTTTTTTTTTTTTTTTTTT